GGACACGACTTAACGACTGAACAACAACAATTGTAGATAATTACCATGGCCCTGTTTCTGTAAACCAAATATTGCAGTCAGTTGTGTTAATAGCTAACATTTTAAACTTGTAGCACTGGAAACCTTTTTAAGTACCATTCAATACACAGTGTTTTTTTACAGTATGCACTCCTGGACATACACTTTAAAATACCGAGCTACTGACAATTTGGGATATGGCTGATCAGCCTAAGAAAAATATATTTCCAGAGAAGCATTAAACAAAGAACTGCACTTGGCAACACCATGGGGTGAAGCTTCTGTGCTTGGAAAAGAGGATACTTTCTCAAGTAGGTGAGAAGACACACTTGGAACAGGAGAGAACACACGAGTCTGTTCATGCAGTTATGAACAAAGAGAGAGGTTGATCCAGAACATGTGAATTAATTAAAGAATGTGTCTGAACTTGAATCTCTTTCATCAGTAAGATCTCTGTCTCCATTGGGAGAACTTTTCAGACAGGACAAATTCTTAATGAAGCATTCCTTAACCTAGTGCCCTCCAGATGTAATGGGTATCAGTTTCCATTTCTGCTTAAGCCAAAGCAGCCAATAGTTATTCCATACCAGCAGAACACATATGAACAATTTTAATTAACGGCTAAAGCTGTGGCACCTGATTCCATCTAGAACAGCCAAAAATGATTTGAGAACAAAGGCAGGCTGATTTGTCACTTAGCACATGGGCCAGACCTGCTCAACAGCAGCTATTATCTTAGGGGTCTCCATGGAGGCCCAGGCGCATCTCTTCCATTTCGCTACAAAAGGAATCAATGGAAGCATATTTATGTTTGCACAATCCAACTAGATGTCAGCACTCTATGAACTCTTACTGTAAGGGGTCATCTTGGTTTCCTTTAATTACAAATTCCCATTCTATGAAACATATTTATGAATTCAGAATCTTCCAGTAAGAAAGGCTTTAACTCAGTTGCAAAAGCAACTGATGCCATTAACAGTGCTTAAAGACAGGTTTTGAAGTATTGCCTTTAATTCACACCTTCATCCAGGGACAGCAAACACAACTGTAGTTCTCTTTCCCCCTTTACTGTCCTATTTGTACAAAGCCCCAGAAAAAAAATCTATCAACTATCTTTCAGAACAAATGATCAATTTGAAGTTATTTTTCCTCTTTTACTAAAATAATGTTCTTGGAACTACAGCCAGATTTGCTTGGTTTGCAGCTCTATCTAAAGAGGAATTTGTTCACGTGGGTGCTAGCAAACATGATCTCAAGTAAGCATATGCTTGAATCTTCTTTTCTCCTGTTCATTATTACTTGAGTTTATTTTTTAAATTTGGTTTGTTATGACATAAATGCTACATAAATAAAATCAAACAAAAATCATCTTAGTATATCAAATAAAAACAGCAGAAATATCAGGGTATGTATGATACAGAGGAAGATAGTTTGGGAAGGAGGGAAGTATGATCAGTAGGAGGAAAGATGAGTTCCTCCCTCTCCATATATCGACTTCTCTTGCAAGATGTTGGGATTTTAACCAAGCCAATATATGCGAGCATATAGAACCAGGAAGAAAATTGATAAATTAATCAGAAGTAAGGTTGCATTCTTAGGCACCCTTCATTGGGAATAAGCCCCACTCGGCGCAAGCAAAACCAGGGAGCGAACAGGAATCGGTCCTGCAGGTAAGAGGGCGGACGCCTCCTGATCTGGGTAGGGCTGGGGCCGAAGGGGGCAGCAGCAGGAGTGCAGGGGCTTCAGATTACAAGGAAGTCGGCGCTCGGGACCAGGCAGGGCTGCCTGCTGACGTCTGTTTCGGGACTGCAAAGCGCAGCAGGCGAAGGCCCGGAAAATGCCCGGTAGGGAAACTCACCGCCCAGGAAAGCGCCCAAGAAGAAGCATTTCTTTTTGTGACGCTTCAGGAAGCCCCACACGGCCATCAGCATTGCGGCGGCGGCGGCGGCGGC